CTTTTACGTATGCCCCACGCATGCTTATCATGTGATGCGTGGCGCGGCTTGCGTGAAGTGTCCCGCCGCAGAGGCACGGGGAGCCGGCTGGCGGGGCGGGCGCCAACCCCACCAGGGGCGGAGGCGGAGGCGGGAAGAAGGGGCGGCGGCAAGGGGTCGGGGAAGAAGGAGTCGGTGGCCTCTCCGCCGCCGCCAGCAAAGTTGCCACTGCGTATGTTAGCGAAGACGCGGACGCCAAGAGAATGACACGAAGTGGTGATGGTTCGGGCGTGGTTAGGACGGAACACGGAAAAGGATCGATGGGCATGATACATGCGGAGGAAAGTACGGACAAGGGGCGACAGGAAAGAATAAAAAAATGCGACGCGGGAGGAAGAGAGCCGTGATGATGTCGGAGGAAGACGACAAGTAGTAATGACACGTTCGGAGAGGAGAAAGAGCAATGTCATGTTTCGGGAGGAGAACGAGGATGAGCATGTCGCAAGAGGAGTACTTGCACATCCAGAAACGGGCCATAGATGAATAAACCGTATGCCCTTGCATGTTTGTGATACTACCCAAGATGATGCTTTGTGACATGCCTCTATCACCAAGACTACAATCCTGTCCTTCTTTGATATCTTTACATCTGTTGTCGATTAGTGAGGTATAATTTTCGACTCATTTAGGGGGATATTCCAAGTGTCAAAGTGTCATTCCTACTACAGATACATAAATCAGCCTCACCAATGCTTCTCGGATATATCCACCGAGTTGACGTCAACCCCGTTTTTGAACCAACGCTCCTCGTCGGTGATTTTCACGTCGTTCCCGCTCATCTGCCTCTTCCTCATCAGGCCGTTATCAGAAAAGGTCCAATCTTCTAACCCGTAACACCTCCACCACTGCCCTGTCTCATCGTGCCACTCGTACCAGAACTGGACTGCGATCTACGAAAGAGGAGAAACAAGGAAGGGACACCGGTTAGTATAGACAACATGGCCGCCGAACAGAAGAAAGGGGGGAAGGGGAGCTATACCTTGTTGTCAGTGAAGGAGAATAATTCCTTTCTTAATTTGTAGCCATCCTCCTTCTGCCACTTCTTCGTCAGGAAGTCGGCGATCTCATCCCTGCCACGGAGAAACTGATCTCTATTTCTCCAAATCGAGTCCGGGGTGTACGCGAGCTTGACGGCATGTGGGTCTCTATCGACGTACAGAGGTTAATATACGTGCAAGAACTCATTTTTAAGGAGGCATCACCTGGTGTTCCACGCGTCCTGGGCCGCCTTGACCTTCTTCCGGGCGGTCTCCTCCGTGAACGGGGGGAACGGCGGCCTAGCTTCTTGGTCGGACATTGCTGGTTGGATATCGAGAATTCAAGATTTATGACAAGGAGGGTTTTTGTTTTTTACGACGTTGTGCTTAGCGGTTAGATCACGAGTAGATGAACAAGGCTACTTATACTCTTAGATGGAGGGGCAGGAAGGATCTCAAGGTGTGGGACTCAGAAAGGAGTCATGGTAGAAAAGGCGCGTCATGTCAACGATGAAAGGGCGCGCGGCACGAAGTAACGTACCTACTGGGATTCATATGGGTTTGCAGAGCCGGACGGGTCATACGAGTATTACAATATCCATATAATTATGCATACATGTAGTCATGATGAACACGTGAGTCCGCGAAATACCGCGTCAGTCGCGGAGCCTCCGCGGAGCCTCATCCACACGCGCACTTCGCTCGGGATCTGATAACGCATACACAAGGGTGGTGGCGATAATTATGGGATTATCAATCTCGGATCTTGCGAGTCCGGATCGGATATAATTAATAATACGAATCCAGCCGCCAGGGGGGATTGGTGGCGGTAGATATATCCTAGCCATGGATGGTAATACTGAGTGCTCATACGACATTGAGTATAGACCCGCCATGAGCCAATCATGAATATGGAACCAGGCAGGCCCCATAAAACGACACCAGCCACCAGTCACCAGTCACCGCAGGGCCGGCTCGGGAGTGCCGCGCGTGGGATGAGGCCACTCTCCCGGCTCCGACTCAAACCCGTACTCGTACGCAAGTGGAGTAGTTGATGGCGTCACGCAAGCCATGCTCTCGTCAAGGGGGCCGCACAGGGAGAGCCACAAGGGTTGTGGACTTGCGGACTGCTTGGGTACATCGTCGGGGTTTCGTGTCCGTGATCGGAACCCCTCATTCGCCCCCCCACATCCGATCTGGGACATGCAAACAGACTACTTACTCATTGGCACGACCGAAGCTTCGCTTGGGTTCCTCGAGTATCTCAGACCATATGTGGGTAGGTGGGTAGGTGGCAGGTGGGACTAAATATTGCCGCTCCTAGATACAAGTGTAATTGTTTAGAAGCCAGGCAGTACGGAGTAGACCGACCCGGAGAGCTTTATAAGCTTCCCCCCACCTCCCTTCGTTCCCCCCCCCGCCATTGCTTTGTACCAAAGCTGTTCTGCATTTCACCCCGCTAGACATTGATATTCTCTCATATACTCACGAAAGAAATACCCTCCCTACCCCCCCCCCCCCCCCAAACACAACCGCCAAAATGCCCGAACTCAAGGCCGGAGACGCTTTCCCCGAGGGTGTTACCTTCTCCTACATACCTTATACTCCGGAGCTCAGTAGCTTCCAAGCCTGTGGGATCCCCCAGAACTACAACGCCTCTGCTGGTATGCTCCCTCCATTTTCTGGCCCAATGATCCGGGCGATCCGCGACGATTACACCCTCAACTAACACTGCACCCCAGAATTCGCGAACAAGAAGGTCGTCCTCGTAGCCGTCCCGGGCGCCTTCACGCCACTTTGTTCCGCCTCACATCTGCCTTCCTATATCGAGAACCTCGACAAGCTCAAGGCCAAGGGCGTCGACCAGGTCATCTTCGTCGCGCACAACGATGCATTCGTCATGTCTGGGTGGGGCAAGGCTAACAACATAACGGATGGCTCTATCGTAGGTTCTCGCCTTCCTCCCTTTCCCGCCGGTTTCCTCTCTGGAAGCTAATCTTGGGTTGTAGCTGTTCGTGAGCGACCCCTCCGTCAAGTTCTCGTCGAGCATCGGCTGGGCCGGTCCCGAGAGGGCGAACCGGTACGCCATCGTCGTCGACCATGGCAAGGTAATCTACGCCGCTCGGGAAACCGAGCCTGGCATTTCACTCACGGGCGCAGAAGCCGTCCTTGCCCACATTTGAGGGAGCTGTGGCGTTCGAAAGACATCGACTGGACGACGCTTTGCGAGGGGCTGGTAATGAGGTGTATACAATGCGAGAATGGGAGATATATACTTAGACATCCAGATATACCTGGACCACAAAATAGAGCATAGTTTCAACATGGAAACTCCCACCTGATGACTGAATCTACCCCTTCTTCGCCTAAGAACGCTTAACCTCATATGACGGCCACACGGACACACGGCGGGCAGGCCCTGTGATTCTAGCATAATTGCTTCCATATGAGACAGACACATACACACAGGACACGAGTGCACGCCAGCAAACCTCGGCGCCGAAGAGGGGAAGCCTTGTTCATCTATACCAATGCACTCCCCCTGCCCACCCCTCGGGTCCCATGCAATACCGAATCAGGCGTTAGGATTGAAAGTGATTTCGAGAGAACCCTGCCGAGAATAAAGTGACGTAGTAAGCGTGCCGTTACCCCCCTCCCCTTCCATTCCCTTCCCATGCTCTAAAGCTCAATTCGCTACACTGTTTTTGCAGCCTTTATTTTGTCATTTCAACGCCGCTCCCCCAAAAACCTCCCGGCTCATCCCTTAGAAGCGCTTCGCAGCCTGAGGCTTGGTCGCCGCGCCCTTGGCACCCTGCTTGCTCGCGATGGAGCGGCCCTGGCCCTTGGCGGCCGAGGCGGCGAGCTTGGCCTTCTCGGCCTTCTTGGCCGCGGCAGCGGCAGCCTTCTTCTCCTTGGACTCCTTGATGGCCTCGGAGCGCGCGGCAGCACGCGCCTCGGGGCGCTGGGAGCGCCTCTCCCTGATGACGTCGAGGGAGGCACCGACGACAGCGCGCTGGGACTTTACGGTTCGGCGGGATCGCTTCTTGGCAACCTCCTGTAGTCGGGAGTCAGTACCTGAATCTTCGAGGGTTCCGGAAGGGGGTAAGTGCGTGGGTGGTGATTCCCGCGCCCGAGGGGGGGGGGAGGAAGAAAGGTGGGATGGGTTATCGTACCTCAGAGATACCCTTCCTGTGCTTGCGGCGGAAGAGAACGGTCCAGGATATGAGGCGGGGGTTCTTGCGCTGGAGGAAGAGCGACTTGGACTTTCCGTTCTGGAAGCGGAAAATCTTGCTGTCGCCACGGACGAAGAGGGAGCCCTACAAGAGGAAAAGAGAAGCACGTTAGTACCACAGATCCCAACGGTATAATGATCCCGATATCTCTCCAGCCGCCCAAAAAAGTCCAATGTCCCTCCCTCCACGGCTCGTTTCCTCTGCATGATCGCATCGTCCTCCCCCCACTTTGGTCCATCCGGTGAAACAGGTCGCGATCGCGCGCACGATTGGGATAACTCGGGTTTAATTTCGTACCTTTCCAGGGTAGATCCTCTGTCCGGAGAACGTGTCGTCGTAGGTCCTCATTTTGTCGGTGGCGATGGGAACCTTCTTGGGTGTTGGGTGTGTCGATGATTCGGGGTTGGATGCTGGTCTCCAAGAATTTCCTGGTGTGGTGATTTCTGGGTGTGTGAGGATGAGTCAGCATGACCGTTGGTCGTTAGGGCCAGGCGAATGACTGGCGCCTTTGTAGGTGACGAAAATATGATTGGGCGGGAGTCAGACCACGTGACCATTGAGTTATAGTCCGAAGTATACTGAGAAAGCCATAACCATGAGCACGATGATCGCCAGGTATTTGACGACCAAAACGATAAAAAAAAGAGGCCGATTTCAAGCTCTGTAAAATTAATGCATCGCATGATTTCAATTAAAATTATATTGAGTAGAACGGAAGAAAGCAACATTGACCGAACGGGCAAAAAATATATGCTCAGGCCGAGACTCGAACTCGGATCATTTGCTACGCCCGGATGGAAGGCAAATATTCTACCCCTGAACCACCTGAGCTTATAATATTGCGTCCCTGCGAGGGTTCATACAGGGTAGGGAGCTGCGCGTCCGTAACAGGCGCTGACAAAATAATGATTCAATGTTCTTTGCATGGCGGGGTTTAGTGGGGTAAATTGCTGCGACGAGCTTCCCGTCGTGGGCAGCAGAACAGGTAGCTTGATGAACCCAGGCAGCAGCATTCTGGTCGTCTCCAACAAAGAAGGATTGAATTCTGGTCAATCTTTTTCGAATCTGCTATTCCATTGATTATCATACCATATCCCGATCAAATCTAAAATGGCTGCGCCTATAGACCAACGGATAGCCGTCCCCATAGATGACCCCAACGCCGACACGGAATGGTAATTCATCAAGAGGAAAGCTTTTCTCCCGGGTATTTCGACTAACAGCTCGCAGGAATGACATTCTAAGGCAACATGGCGTCATACCGGAAAAACCGCCCAGCCCCACGCCCATGATCGAGGAAGCCATAGTCGAAGCCCGCAGGATCGCGCACGAGAACAGACTCGAGGGCAAGGAGCTAGACGAGCTCGACGAGCTCGAGGACGAGGAGGACGAGGAGTTCCTGGAGCTTTACCGACAGAAGAGGATGCAGGAGCTGGGAGCATTGAGCAAGAAGGCCATCCACGGCAGCGTTTACCCCATCTCGAAACCGGACTACGGGCGGGAAATAACAGAGGCCTCGAGCAAAGGACCCGTGTTCGTCAACCTGACGTCGTCGCTGGGCACGAACGTCGAGTCGAGGGTGCTCTCCGAGCTGTGGCGGCAGGCCGCGGCGGAGTATGGGGATATAAAGTTCTGCGAGATGCGGGCGGACAAGGCGATTGAGAATTATCCCGAGAGGAACTGCCCGACGATACTGGTGTATAAGAACGGGGACATCGTCAAGCAGGTGGTCACGTTGGCGATGGTGGGTGGTGTCAAGATGAACATGCTCAACATCGATAACCTACTTGTTGAGGTCGGGGCTGTTCCCGAGTCGGACATGAGGGTGCTCAGGAGGAGGAGACAGGCGGAAGATGCCGAGGAAGAACGCTATGCGAGCAAGGGCATCAAGACATCTACACTGGCGAAGGCGGACGATTCGGATGACGACTGGGATTGAACTCCGAACAAGATAATATTAACACTGATACAATATTTATGCATGTTCTCACGAACCAATCCGGGACCTCTCCGCCTCCGCTAGGTCCTCCAGCGTTGTCCCCGGCTGGATGTCTCGCGGGCCACACGCCGTTGTGCAGCCAACAAATAGGAACGGCACAACGTCGCGGTCGTGTTCCCGTAGCGATATAGGCGCAGCAGAACTGGTGTCCTTGACGCCCCACCACTCGATCCACTGAATGGCTGGTGTCGCAACGAGAGTGTCGCATGTAGAGCAGTGAACGCCGCCTGCTTCTTGCTGAGCAACAAGTCTTTCGAATAGCCCTCGGAGATGGTCGGACCAGCCGTCGATAAGGTCGGGGAATTGGTGTAACCTGGAGCTCTGGTAGCACTTCCTTAGGGCAAGTTCCATTAGACTTGGAACCCTACTCGGGGAGGACAGCCCATCTAGGTCGGTCTGGCTCGCAGTATCCCCACCTCGTTTCGCGGACTTCGCGTCCGGAGACGGTACGGCATCGAAACGCAAGGATTCCTGTGCTGAGTGCAGAAATCGGACTGGTGACCGAGTCTTGAAGTAGGCGGATATACCGGATGTGGAACTGAATTTGACTTCGGACTTGCTAGGCTCGGGGACTAGAGACGGGTCGAATTCCAGGAACTCATTCAAGGATATCCTGAGAAACGTCATCTTGGACCCTGGGCCGATAAGTTTCAGCATCGAGCTCGGGAGGTGCTTCAGTCGGTTCTGCGCGACGTTGAGCTCCCTTAGGTTCGTTAGATTCCCGATTGAATCGGGGAGCTCTTCCAAGCGGTTGCCCCTCAGGCTGAGAGAAGTGAGGTTCTTGAGACTGAAGAGGGTTCCGGGCACGGTTTCGAGGCCATTATTGGCGATGAATAGCTTGATATTCGCGTCTCTCTGTTCAAATGGTACGCCTTCCGCAACGATAGGGATCGGGGTGAGAGTGGACAGCATTGCTATCGTGTCGCTGGAGATCGACTTGAGATTCAGGCCCCTACCGACATTGTTAACGAACTGAACACGGGCTGATTTGTGGGGAGCAACTCACGAGATGTCAATGGTCTCCTGCCCTTCGTCGAGACACGCTTGAATGACTTTCCTCATCGTCACCTCGGCCTCGGAAAGCTTAGGCACACGTCGCCGCCCGAGCTGCGGCATTGGGTTGGGCGAATACGCCGGTCCGGCCTGGCTCTTCGCGTCATCGTCAAAGGGGGTATCATCTCCAGCCTCCGCCATCCAGACGCCGCTATCGATATTTCTCACGAACTTGCGATTTGGCTTCGGCTGAGGGATGACATCGTCGCCGAAACACGAGTCGGACGACGGAAGCGGCTGCTGCTCGTACCACGACCCCACGAGGCGCTTCTTCCTCCGCGCCGGGGTGTAGTTCTCGATCGCGGGATCATCGTCACTGGAGAAGAAGGCCGGGTCGCTCGAGGTGGCGAACATGGGTGGCGCCCCGGCGGCGTTCGAACGCGCGCGCTTCCTGGCGCGCGTGCTAATGCTCTGGGTGCGCTCGTCCCAGGATACAGCGGGGAGCTGTGGGAGGGTGAGTTCGTCGGCCATCACGCGGGAGGACTAAGCATGGGACGGGAACTGAGGGGAGGGAAGGCCTGGGGAAGGAGGGCGAGGCTTCAATTGATTTGGCTATCCTTGGCGAGAGTATGTTCCATGGTCCTGGTGCCCTTCCCTCCCAGTACGTAAACCCGCCGTGTTGGTAAGGGTGAGTGGTGGCTTCGACGCGATCTCTTGCCCCCACCTTCAATGTGGGGAGACGCGTCTTAGCGGCGGGTGACGGCCGCCTCTTGGTATTTTCGTGTAACGATTACGAGTATCTTACAAGCATCTGGCTGGTGGTTGCAGGGGTGGGGTGGCGCTATGTTACTAAGCCCATCTCCGAAGCTTGGCGTAATCTTCCGAAGCTTTGCCATACCTCCCTAGCCTCAGTGACGTTTGGAGCTCGAGAACAGCTTTCGGTGTTCAAGAGACCTGGCCAAACACAACCACATCACCCGCCAGCCCAATTCTCAAACATGAGGCTCCCGCTGCTTTCAGCGAAAGCCCTTGTTTTCCTCGGGCTTCCGCTCCTTTCCCAGGCCATCTTCCACGACGAAGTCGGCGTTGTTGACTTCCACCATGAGCTACTTGGCCTCCCCGATAGCACGACCACCTTCTTCCACAAGCCGCGGAAACACGAAAAGGCAAGCCTGCTCTACTCATTGACCGATTTGGGCGTCCTAGGCGCGGTAAACCCTAGCAACGGCGCGATAGTATGGCGGCAGTTTCTCGGCGGGAATACGACCAACGGCGGCCGCTTCCTCCGGGCCGGTGATGGCCAGAGCTGGCTGGGCAGCGCCCAAGGGAGCTCCGCCCACACGTGGGATGCCCTAACTGGCAGGAACCTGTGGTGGAGGGACTTTGACGGCGAAGTTAAAGATCTGGAGATACTGGAGTTGACGGGGGAGGGCCGGAAGGATGTCTTGGCTCTCGTCCACGAGGGCGACGCCACGGTCGTGCGTCGCCTCCGCGAAGATACCGGGGATGTGATCTGGGAGTTCCGGGACTCTGGGAGGGACATCCCGCTCCAGGTTTCGACGGACATTGAATCCGTATTCGCTGTCAGCCTACACGGCAGCCCCGAATCCTACGCGGTCAAGGTCTCGGTGCTCGACCCTCAAACCGGGAAGCGGACGGATGAAATCGTGCTGGGGACGAAGGGCGAGGTGCACCGACCGGAGGACGTAATGTTCGTCGGCTCGAACTCGGCAGCTCCCATTATCGCGTGGGTCGACCCGACCTTGACCAAGCTGCACATCAACGTTATCGGCACAAAGTCGAAGCTGGAGTTCCCTCTCGCACCCGACACCGTGAGCGTGGATGTACATGCCCCCCAGCTGGCTCAGTCGAACCCCCACTTCCTGGTCCATACCCGGACCAAGACTGGCACCAAGACTGGCAATCGCGCCGAAGTCTACCATATCAACTTGAAGACCAAGGGTGTTGCAAAGGCCTATGACCTGCCTCACCTTGCTGGAACCGGCGCAATTTCCATCAGCACGGCCGGTGCCAACGTTTACTTCACGCGAATAACCGAGGACGAGATCATCCTCGTCGACTCGACGTCCCATGGTGTCCTCGGACGCTGGTCGTTCAAGGCTGGTGTCGACACTCAGGCTCTTGGTGCTACCACCGAGGTCTTGCAAAAGGGCGATGTCTACGCCTTCCGATCTGCCATCACCACATCTGACGATGACTGGGTTCTGGTGAAAAATGGGGAGGTCGACTGGACTCGGCCTGAGGGACTATCCGGTGCCGTCGCCGCCGCCTGGGCTGAGATCCCTGACTCCGAAAGCCTGGCCAAGGTCCTTGACGAAGAGGCACACACGAATCCTCTCGAGGCTTACGTTCGCCGCCTTAGTCGTCATCTTGACGATCTTCAGTACCTTCCGGACTATTTGCTCTCACTACCTCCTCAACTTCTCAAGAGTGTTATCGGAACTGAAGCCTCCGACTCCCACCCGCAAGACCTTGCTACCGATTCTTTCGGTTTCCGGAAGCTTATTATCCTGGCGACGAAGCGAGGAAAGCTCTACGCTCTAGATTCCGGTGACAAGGGCAGGGTTCTCTGGTCACGACGAGCATTCAACATTCCTGCGGGAGAAGCCTGGGAAGTCACCGACATTCTGGTGGATGACTCCAAGGGCGAAGTCACTGTTGTCGGTGGGCACGGCGAATCAATCATTGTTCGGACGGATACTGGGGACATTGTTGGAATCGAACAGCCCCAGGGTGCTATCTCGGTCGCCCGAACCGCTGTTATTGACACCCCGGCTGGACCCCAACTCTTGTCTGTCGGATCAGACGGAAGTCTTCC